GACGGCGAGGGCGGGATGGCGACCTCGTAGTACTTCGACGAGGAGCTCAAACGTCGAGGTATCTCCCTGCACGTACGGGCGCCCAGGCAGCACGCGCGCTTCATAGAGCGACGCGGCGCGATCTTGCGCCATGCTCTACACACCACCGAGGAGCAACTGGAGCGAGAGAGCCTCACGGCGAACTTCGACTCCATTCTGGCGAACGCCATCTTCGCCGGCAACAGCCTCACGCATGTAGGCGGCGCCACGCCCTACAACGTGGTCTTCGGACGGCAGCCCAGCATGCTGCCGCCGCTAGAGGTCGACACAGATGGTGCGGACGAATCTGGCCATGCCGAGGAGTCCAATCCTGCTTCTCCTGGTGGTGAGACTCGGCCCAGCCGACTGCAGTGGCGCATTCGCGAGATCGCACTGCAGCGCATGATCGGGGCAACCTCAATAGCACGCGTCAAGCGTGCCCTCAGAAACGCGCACCCAGCCGTCCGGCGAGGGCCAGTTCAACATCGGTGACGTCGTGGAGATCCATCGGCCGCCCGACACCAAGGATGTTTCCGGCTGGGCAGGCCCAGGGACGATCACTGCAGTGGATCCGGCGCGCGGGAAGGTCACTGCCAAGTACCGCCGCGCCGAGATGAATTGCAAATTGCAGGACGTCCGTCATTTCATCGGCGCGGTCTACGACGACCTCGGCGCCGGGATGACACGCGCCGGCCTGGCGCGGCACTTGGTCGAGAACTTCATCGAGCACATCCAGGAAGGATCAGGAGCTCGCACCTTCGGCCACTGGGAGGACAGCGGCAACGTCAGCCTCACCGAGCAGGCTCGACAGAAGCCCGAGGTCTTCCAAGCCCTACGCCACCTGGCCCACAGGTGCTTTCAGCTGTCAGACGTTCGTGCCATACGTCTGGTCCGAGGCCGGAAACAGGTTGGCGCCTGGCCGGGCTGCTCCCGCAGTCTGGTAATTTGGTGGTTTTCCAAGGACCCCTACGACACGCAGCAGATGCACCTCAACAGCGTGCACTTCGACTCGTACTCCTTGGTCGGTGACGCCTGGAAGAACGCCCGCATCCTACAGTTCATTCTGGGCGATGAGCCACTTATGGCAGCAGACGTCGGTTTAGAGACTGAAGGCGAGATCGGACACCACGTAGTCGGATCTCACGAAGATGCTGCGTCGACTACGGAAGGGGGGTCACCCTCAGCGCTATCAGTCATACACGAGGGCGACGAGAGCGACTTCTCCGGCTACATCCAGAAGGTGATGCTAGCCGCGTGGCAAGAGGTCGAGAATGCCGACGACCTCACCAGCGAGCTCATGTTGGACGGCTGCAAGGAACACCAGCAGCAGGTCTACGCAGCCATCGAGCATGCTGCGGCCGGCATGGGCCGTCGGCCCTCCGAGTGGCCATCACACCTGGAGACGCAGCGTCAGCGCCAGGTGATCCACGAGAGGTGCCACTACTGCCTTCGCGGGGCCTCGGAGGCCGAGTACGCCACGCTGGAGGGGGAAGATGATCAAGGTCCACACGTGGAGCTGTACCTTGACCCCGGTGTGCGCGAAGCATTCCTGAGCACACAGACCGAGATGAGCGACCATGTCGACTCATCATCATGGACAGCTGCGCTCAACGTCTACGCCGCCGTCAAGACCGCGGCAATCAAGCGCGACACCGACTTGCTCACTAAGGAGGAGGTGTCTACGCTGCCCCAAGAGGTTGCCGCAGCCATCTTGGAGGAGCTCACCATCTGGGTCAAGTACAAGTGTTTCGAGCGACGACCCCTTCGAGGAGCTCGGAACGTCATGGACTCCCGCCACGTCTTCAAGTGGACGCACCGCAAGAATGCGAGATGGTCCGCATTATCCGATGCCGGATGGCACTGCGGGGCTTCAGAGACATGGACGCGGGGGCGCTGGAGACATTCGCTGGGACAGCGAAGCGTTCGTCTCAGCGCATCCTGTCTTCGGAGGCGGCTTGCAGACCAGACTGGGTCTATGTCGCCGTGGACGTGGAGAAGGCCTTCCTGCAAGGGATGACTTACGAGGAGATGCAGGAGCAGGGCGAGGCACCTAGGGAGGTCAACTTCACGCTACCTCCCGGCAGCGCCGCGATACTGCGGAAGGTGCCCGGCTACGAGGACTTCGACGAGACGACGGAGTGCCTCCATTGCATCAAGCCGGGCACAGGCTGCAAGGATGCTCCGCGGGCGTTCTCCATGAAGCTCGCCCGGGACACGCGCTCTCCAGAGTGCAACACCAAGCCGACGCGCTGGGACCCGGAGCTCGAGGTCAAGCATGAGGCACCTACGAGCCATGCTCACGGTGTCTCAGAGTTAGTGCTCATGCTACCCAAGCACGTGGACGACCTGAAGATAGCTGGACAGAAGAAGCACGTGGACCAGCTGATCTCTCACATTGAGAGCGTCTTTGGCAAGATGAAGGGTTACTGGGAGGACTTCACCAACTGCGGCGCCCACCAGAGCCGCACCAAGGACGGCGCGGTCACCCTAGACCAGGACGAGTACATCGACGCGCTGATCCCTATCAGGCACGTCGACCTGGTCAAGGCCAAGGCGGATCAGCTGGCCACCGGTCCGCTCCAGGACCTGTTCGTATCTCTCTTGGGAGCAGTAGCCTACGCGCTACTTACACAACACCATGTGGCTGTGTACGTAGTCGTGCTGCAGAGGACCAAGAACAAGCTGCTCATCAGACACGTGACGCAGCTCAACTCAGTCGTTCTGGCCATGCAGAAGCTGAAGGCACGCATCGTATTCCCAGCGATGAAGTGCAGCAAGCGACTGGTCGTGCACAGCGACGGCTCCTTCAAGAGGGAAGAAGACACGGGGTACGGCATGCGCGGCGCCGTGTACATGCGCATGGGCACGTGCCCCAAGACGGGTAAGGAGGTCTGCCACCTGCTGGATGCCATCAGCAGATCACACAAGCGTGTGTGCAGGTCCTCCTTCGGCTCAGAGCTGCTCGCGGCCTGCGGCGCAGCTGACGGGGTGCAGCAGTACCTCCCCACCCTGTACGAGATGGTGCACGGCCCGGCCACCGCGGAGGAGATCCGACGGCTGCGGGAGCAAGGAGGCTACGCCATCCCGGCCGAGTGGTTACGTAGACGGCATGTCGGTCTTCACGGCCCTGCTGTCCGACCCCGTCCGGCCGCCATCCGGGAAACTCGATGGCCGGCCATCTCTGGTGGCTAAGCAACCAGTTTCGCACCAAGCAGCTCGAAGACATGCTGTGGTGCGACACCAAAGACACGAGGGCCGACCCGATGACTAAGCGAAGCATCGGTCGGGACCTCATCTTGGGAGTCATGACTGGCTACGCCAGTTGCACTCATCCGAAGGTGCGCTTCAGCGACGAGAAGAGGAAGAAGAGCGCGCCGAGCAGCCAGCACTCGAGGCTGAACAACAAGCCCAGTGCAGGCACAGAGACTGAGGGAGCTGCACAACCTGAATGGTGAGCAGACTGCGACTACGACACCGCGCAGCCAGCCTCAGCAGACAAGCCCAGGAGTAAGACAACATGCTCCTGGCTTCCATATCAGCGAGGAGGGCCGTGCCTTTTGCCGGCTCTCCACAGAGAGTGAGGGGATACAAAATTCCATGGATGTTGCTCTAGGCGGATCCTTTTTGGCAGGCACGCCGGGAGTTGAGCACCTACGACTGCACGGTGCTCCACCCGGCGCAGCTCCACGGCCCGCAGACCTTCGACGTGGGCTTCCTGGAGCTGTAGGCCAGACCCGGGGCAGGCTAGCACGGCCGGGTTGGTCTCTTGGTGCAAGTGTAACTGCTTCTACCGAGGGAACAACGGACGTGTTTGAGCACCAGACTCGAACGGACCCATGTCAGGCCATCCCTGCCTTTCACTGCCCCTGCCCTGTTTCACCCGCCTTTCTCCCGCTGCCTCTTCGGCTCAAGCCTGGCCAGGCTTAGCGCCCGCATATACGCCTAACAGCACCGCATACCGTATACATCGCTCTCGTAAAACAGAGCGCACATTCTCTCACTTTCCATTCCTAACTTGTCACTCGAGAAGGAGGAGGCAGAAGGAGAGAGGAGGGAGGAGGGGTATGAGGTTGGATACCAGTATCCCCTCCTGGTCGCCCGTACCCCTCCCTCCCTCCCGCAGGCTGCCGCTGTCAAGGGTCGCCGCGCGGCCGCGGGGGGCGTCGCCGCCGCGGGGCCCGCGCGGGGCGCAGGCGCGCGCGGCGCCATGCTCGCCCCGAACGGCCCGCGGCGAGACGGTGGAACTGGGACGGCGCGGCGGCAAACCTCAGCCTTGACAACCTCACGGCTCCACCTCAGTGGTGGCCCGCAAAATGTTTTGAGCATGAAATTGAAGAACGCCAATGACGCGGACGGAACCGGAACAGAAGGCCCCAGAGAATGCAGGGATCACGCAGCGTTTCCCCACCAATGTCGGCACGCCCCTCAGACGGATCGCGCCCCCTCTCCAGGAGTTCCACTAACGGTGCCAGGGACAGAATTCGCACGGCGTCCCTCCGCCCATCTCAGCACACCCTTCACACGGAGCGTGCCCCAGATAGATTTAAGTCCACGTACTGCTCTAATGGCAGGAGACGTAGAGCGTCCCCCTATCGTATGCATGCCGACTCTCTCCTGAAAAGGATCGCGCCCCAAGGGAACTTTTCCGACGGACCCAAGGACAAGGTTCGCATCCCATCGCCCCACACATGTCGGCACACCCCTGACAAGGATCGTGAGGTGGGAGCGTTTTGGACACCGTTTGGGCTTTTCTTGGGGCCTCTATACAGGCTATTTGGGGGCCTCTGGCGGCCTCTGGGGGCCATCTTGGGGCCCGCTAGCGATCTGAGGGGCTCCCTTGGGCAATCTTGAAGCTGGCCCTCTTTCCTCAGGACCCGTTTCCTCCATGTCGGCAGATGGAGCTCAGGACACGGAGCTCGTCTCGTCGCTTGCAACGGTCAAAGTGCAGCAGAGCACGCTCCCAACACGAGGGTGGTCGCGACCTGTTCACCTCGGCCACGTCGCGCGACTCCTCGCGGAAATTGCAGAAAGCAGCCAATCAAATGCAAACGCTGGCCTCTTGCCCTCCTCCCCCCCCTCCCCCTCCTCCCCCTCCCCCTCCCCCTCCCCCCCTCCTCTTCCTCCTCCTCCTCCACCTCCTCCTCCTCCTCCTCCTCCTAATTACCCCTCCTCCTCTTCCTCCTCCTCCTCTTCTTCTTCGTTTTCTCCTTCTTATGATCAGAATTCGTATTATGAGTATTAGTGCTATTGTTATTATTCTTCGAATTATTAGTAGTAGTAATATGTTTGTTCGTAGTAGCTGTATTCGTCTGATTCGTGTTATTATTATTATTGTTGTACGTATGTTTATATTATTCCTAGAATTAGTAATACTGTTACTGTTAGTCTTATTTTCACGATTCGTCTTCTTAGTTTTCTTATTCTTATTCCTCCTCCTCCTTCTCCCCCTCCTCCTCTACCCAACAGCCGCGGCGGTGCCTGGCTGAGAACAGTCCAGGGCGTGACCCGAGGGGCAGGTGCAGGCAGCTGGCAGGCAGACAGAGCAGGGAAGGGCGCAAGGAGAGAGGGAAGGGGCGAGGGCGAGTGCCAAGAGAGGGGCGGGGGCGAGGGCGAGCACCAAGAGAGGGGCGGGGGCGAGGGCGAGTGCCAAGAGAGGGGCGGGGGCGAGGGCGAGCACCACCAAGAGAGGGGCGGGGGCGAGGACCAAGAGCAGAGAGGAAAGGGAAGGAGCTTCCCTCGCACCCACAGCCCTCGCCTAGTAGATTTGATGAGTGCCCTGATGAAGGGGCGAATCTGGGATGGAGTCCAAGGGGGCACTGCCGAAAAATCGGCACCCATCGAGCCCCGCCAGCACCGCCTGCCACGATCATCGTCCAACACACCCAGCCCGACACCGTCGGCCCAAAGACCAGTCAGGGAAGGCAAGCCCGCCCGCTCGCCTATCGGGGCCCGCCTGCCCACGAACAGCCCACTCGCCCACCGGCCTGGGAGGGCCCGCCCGACCGCCTGCCGGGGCCCGCCCGCGGGCCTGCTCAAGCACCCAGCACACCCCGCCGTCAAGAGTTGGGCGCGCATGATCTGGGGGCGCTAAATAGCAAGGGAGAAAGGTGCCCTTTTCGGGCCCTGCTGGCCCCCTTCGGGCCCCTAAAGGGCCCCTTTAGGTCGGGTCCCTCAAGGGCCCCTGTTCGGAAGCCCTGGCTGCCCCACCCATTCCATCGCCCCCCCATTGCGCGCAACCTAAGAGAGGCCTCCCCCGCTCGCCGCTGGGGGCCCGCACGACCGTCCGCCGGGGCGCGTCCACCCAGGCAGCCAGGAGAGCCCAGAATCGAATCGAGAAGTCGGATCGGCGGTCGAAACGAATCGGATCGGCGGAAATCGGCGGCCGAGTCGGGAGAAGGTCCAGTCGGCGCAAGTCGGCAGGCTAGTACGCCTCCGGTCAGCAATCGGGACCCAGATCGGAGTCCCTAGTCGAATCGACTCGGAGCTGGACGCCACCGGAGTCGAATCGAAGCGAATCGGAGGGCTCCAGGCGAGCCCCGGGCAGCGCGGGCCGGGCGGGCGGGGCCAGCCACCAAGGCGACGACCCTCGCTGGCCCGCTTGTGGGCCCGCGGACGCCCGCGGGCGCCCGCGGGCGGTGCCTCGCGCGCTGGGGCAGGTCCGCCGAGGCTTCGCCTGGCGCCCGGGCGCCTGCCCGCGGGCGCCTCGTGGGCGCCCGGCGCGCAGGGCGGGTCCTCGCCGAAGGCTCGCCACGAGGCGGGCCTCGCCGAGGCGAGGCCCCGGCATGGCGAGGCACTCGCGGAGCGATCCCCAGGCGAGGCGAGCCCCGTCGATGCGCAGAGGCCAGCGGGGCGCCCAGGTGCCTGCGCGGGGAGGAGCGGCCCGCGGGGCCCGCGGCGGCCGCTCCTCGAAAGGTTGCGCCGCCGGCAGAGGTGGACGGCGCCAGCCAATGTAGGCCGCTTCCGCGCGTGCCGGCACGCGCTGCAGTGCATCGAGCTAATCTGGTACACGGCTGGCGCCGTCCCCAAGACGACGACGACGACGACGACGACGACGACGACGACGACGACGACGACGACGACGACGACGAGGGCGCGGACGAGGACGAGGACGGCGGCGGCGGCGGCGGTGCGGCCGATCCTCGAAGGTGGCGCCGCCGACGATAAAGATGATGGCACGCGAGAGCTTCTTTTCGGCGCTGGACGAGGCGCCGTACCGCGCGCCATCCGCGAAGGGAAAGCTGGACTCCTGCAGGGCGCCGCCGCCAACGACGGCACGTCGGCACCAGGCCTGGCCTGTGCCGGGAGAGTGACTGCTGCGCACACCAGGCATCCCTCCCTCCCTCATGCTCGTGCGGGTGGTCTTGGGGGGTGCGAGAGGTGGTGAACGACGTAACCTGACTCTGGGTTGAACGCCATGAAGATCCGCTCAGTGGTGAACACGCTGAGGATCAGCTTCGAAATTCTCCTGCATGAGGTGACCTGCATGGGGTGACCTGCATGGGGTGTGAAGAAGGGGCCCTACAGAGGCCCTTCAGGGCCCCTTTTGGGTCTCTGCTGGCTCCAAAAGGAGAGCCTAACGGGCCCCATTTATGTGGCACTCTTCTTCACACCCATTTAGGTCACTCCCCATCATCACCCGCCCGACCCTCAGGAGGAGGAGAGCTTGGGTGGATAAGAATGCAGGTGAGAAGGAGGAGGAGGAAGAGAAGAGAAGGAATAGGAGGAGGATGCGTATTCCCATCCTCATCTCATCAACTGCCTCCTGCCACCCCTCCTTCTCCTCGGCTTCCCTGGGTGAGCCTGGAGCGAGCGGGCGCCGAACGCCATCGCTGGGCCTCGGCCCCGAAAGGGTGTCGTGCCCGCTGAGCTGCGCCGGACACGCAGGGTAGTCGAACCGCCACCACGTGCGAGCGCCGCCTGAACAGAATGAGGGAAAGGTGAGATCTGGGAGGATTGGACTGCGCTTCAGCTGAAAGCTCGTCCAACTGCAAGCAGCTCTCTGCTACCCTGGAACTTGAAACTGTACCAAATCTCATGGTGAGCCCGCCTGCGCGGTCGTCGTCGTCTGCCTGCGTCTCCCCTCCTCGTCCCCTTCCGCCGGGCAGCACAGCCTGCCTGGGACCAGCGTGGCGGCGTGCAGGGCTTCAGCCCACGGCAAAGCAATCCATACAGCAGGGGCCCGATCACAAGAAACCTTCCACAAGAAACCCAACCCTGACACCCCCAGGACGTCCATGGATTTTTGGTGTGGGAACGTCACGCTTCCCATAGCAAAACCATCGAAACCGAAGAAACCCAGGCCCAGGGTACCCTGGAGGCAAAAAAAAACGTTTCTTGGCACGGGCCTCCGCACGCCCATCATTGCTCCGATGCGGGCTCAGGGAGCTTCCGAGGCGCACCAGGAGGGCTTCAGGCTCATCCCCGAGACAGGCCAAAAGGTGGGAGATCTGGGAGGAACCCTGAAGGGTTTCAGAACTCTCTGGAGGTGTGGGGGGGGAACCCCTTGGAATATCGGGCCGATTCCCAGGCCCTTCCCAACCGCGACCGCAGGGGCGAGGCTCGATCTCCTTCGGGGCGAGGCGCGACTTCAGCACGGCAGCGTCTGACTGGCTCGACGCACAGCCCGGCAAGCACCGCAGGCTGGATCGAAGCCGGGCTGGGGGATCGACATCCTTGGCAAAGCGAGGAGCACCTTTCATCTTCCCTCGGCGCGGGACAGCTCTGGCGATCAAGGGAACAGCAAGGAGCAGAGGAGCGCGGGTGCAGCGTTCCTTCAGCTTTCCCTTCATGATATTGTCTGCGATGGAGGCCACCTGGCTGGCGCAATATCAAAGGTTTCACACATGCCACCCCCCCCAATAACGGTAGGAGGGAAGGATGCTGGATCAGAGAAATGAGGGCAGACATCGGGAGGGACGAGGAGGAAGAGTCCGGGGAAGGAAAGAAAAGGAGGAGGAAGAGGAAGAGGAAAAGAGGAACAAGACGGCACGGAAGAAAGGGAAGAGCAAGAGGAAGCGGAGGAGGAGGAGACAGAAGAAGAATCCGCCGATCCTTTGGGGCCTCTAGGCGCGCGATATGGTTCGCCCTCCCTGGACATCCCCCAAGGGGCCCGGAGCGGCCGATTCGGAGAGGGGTCTGGCGGAATCGCGAAAAGGGGGGCGCGGGCTCACCCAAGGATCTGGGGTGCGCCGCCAGGTCCCCCACAAGGCTTCTGAGTCGACCTTGAAGCGCCGACGCGACCCTGCAAACTCATAGCGGGCCCCCGATGCCCCGCCAAAAGCATCCAGCCCGGGCCCCGCCCGACACTCCACGGGGGGGCTCATAAAACCAGGGCCCGGCACGACCGACGCCCCAGGTCGCCCCAAGACAGCCCTCAAGCCCGCAAGAAAGCCCCCGGCCCAAAAAACATGCCTAAATCGGCGGCGAGCGAGGGGGAGACATGAGAAGGAGGGACCTTATCCGAAGGTGGCGGGACTTCTCAGAAACCCTCACACCTCCTGAGAAGCTGTCTGTCTTCGGGGACGGCTCAGAAAACTTCCCACGAAAGGCCGGGGAGTCCGAATTTTCTGAGAAGGCCTTTTCCATGTCACTTCCTCCCCTGGCTCGCCGCCGATGATTCTCGGCACTCGCGCTCGCTGCGACGAGGAGGAGGAGGAGGAGGAAAAGGAGGAGCAGAAGGAGGGGGAGGGGGAGGAGCTGCGCAACTCCTGGAGGAAGGGGGGGGAGGGAGGTCCACGCGCCCAAAGCCTGGCACCCACCGCCTGGGCAATCCACGCAAGGTGCCGAAAAACAGGCCCGCGGCGGCCGCAACTGCATTTAGCCGAGACAGCCGACGCTGCATCGAAACGAATTCGCGCGGCGGCGACGCCTGCACCTAAAGCACCTCGGCCCTTAGGAACCGCGCCCGCTGCGGTCCAGAGAAACTCGAAGAAACGAGTAGGAGGCGGCCTCAAAGCAACGCGCACAGCCCCTCACACCGCGCCTCGCCGATGGCCGCCGCCATCGCCACGAAGGCATACTGGGCGTACGCCTCAAGGAAGACGCCTCGCTCCTCCTCGAGGTCAGAAGGCAGCGCTCCCACCTGGAGGCGATCCACCAGCGCGCGGGCAAGGGCGGCGACGCTGTCACACCTGCCCTCCGCCCGCGGCGCCTCCTCCACCCCCTGCTTGGGAACGTCCGCAGCCGAGCAAGGCACCCCGACGCTGCGGCACGGACTCTTGGGCTTCGCGTACAAGCGAGTCACCGCTCTCGCGCGAGACACGGCCCTTGCTCCCCCGAGCACGCCCAGCACGGTTCTTCGGCGCACGGGGGGTGGCGGCGGCGCCCTCGCACCCGCCCTCCGCCCGCGGCGCCTCTCCCTTCCCTTTCTGGGAACGCCCGTATCCGAGGCAGGTCCTTCACCGAGGCGGGGACAGACAAGCTCGGCCCAGCTCCGCACGGACGCACGGGCCTCGCGCGCAGACGAACCGCCACCCTCGCGCGAGCGACGGCCCTTGCTCGCCCGAGTACGCCTGGCACGGGTTGTCGGCCTAACGGAGGCCAGAAACTCCACGAAATCGGGCTCGCCCACCTCGCCCGCCCAACTGCCGCACGAAGGGCGGCGCGCTACGACGCCCTGGTCCTCGCAACCCCTCTTACATGGCGCCGCCTTCACCAAGGAGCTGGCCAGAGGCTCCCCGCAGGTGTCGACGCACTCCTTGACCAGGTAGCTTGGGTCCAGGCCTCCATCGACGACGAACTCGGATTCCAGCCTCTTCTCGACGAAGCCGGTGCCCCATCCATCGCCCGTGGACGTGGTGCAGTCGTTTTCCAAGTACTTGCGGTCGCCGTCCTCGAATCGGGAGCTGTCCAGGGGCCCCCCACTGGTGTCGGCGCTCTCCTTGTCCAGGTAGCTCGGGTCCAGGCCCCCGTCGACGACGCCCTCGATCGCCGAGCTCTCTACGAGACAGCCAGAGCCCCATCCACAGCTCGTGGACGCGGGGCAGTCCTTCTCCAGGTAGTTGTGGACGCCGCTCCCCTCGGTCTCGCCCGTGGCCACGACGTCGAAGCTGCTCTCGGACGCGCGCGCGCGCATTCCAGGGCATCCTGCGGCGCGAGGCCCTCCACCAAGTTCCCCTCGCGGTAAGCCGTATACGTGGCCCACGTGTCGAAGCAGCCCTCGAAAGTGTCTTCGCACTCCAGGGCGTCCTCCGACTTGTGGTTTCCACCAGACAGACACACATCAGGCGGCAAGTCGGTGCACCTTCCGCGGCGCTTTCCACGCCTTCCAGGAGAGTCCGCTCTGCTCCTTCCTCACGTTCAGAAGGGAGGAGGAGGAGGAAGAGGAGGAGCAGGAAGAGGAGGAGGGAGGACGAGGAGGAGGAGGAGCCACACCTGACAACATCGAAGAGCCAGCCACCTTGTGGGGTGGACCCCACAGGCCCTTCCTCCAGGCCCACGGCCGCCGCGCCCGGGGCGCGCCCCGGCGCCGCGCGCGCCGTGCTCTCGCGTGCACCCTGGCGACTTCAAGAACTGCGCCCGCCACAGCCAGAGCGGGCCACGTCCAGCACGAATGTAGAAAGGGGGGAGGGGGGGGGGGGGGGAAAAAAAAAAAAAAAAAAAAAAAAAAAAAAAAAAAAAAAAAAAAAAAAAAAAAAAAAAAAAAAAAACGGCTACACACAAGAGCGACCCTGGGCAACAGAAGGCCTTTGATGCGCGGCTTCAGGGGGGGGCGCGAGGGGCCAAAACCAAACGCGCGAGCCGCGGCTGCCGCTTCGCGCTCAATGACCGGGGGTCCCAATTGGGCCCGCACCACAAGGTCACTCTGGCGAGAAGTCGCTCTTACGCCTAGTCAAATACCGCTACTCTCCGGACCTCTCCCAGACTGCTTTCTGACCGGAAAATCCGACGGCGGCGACGAGGGCCTCCCAAGAGGCCCAGAAACAAGAAGGCGAAGATGAGGGAAGGGCAGCGGTATGAGTACACATCCCTCCTCTAGCTCCAGTGTCCGCGCAGCCGCGACGGAATCTGAGACTGCCTGCCCTGGCGCGTCGAAGGAAACCGCGCGCGCACGCCTCCCGCGCCCACCGCGTCGTCGCAGGGCAGCCGGGCCGCGCCCGGCCGCGGAGAGGACTGCCCCTTCGGAGCTGCCCCGATTGTCCGTTCAAGCAGCGGGCGACCCCACTGCGGGGGGGGCCGCTCAGGCACGTCCACGCGCGACTTGTCGCTCGGCGGCGCACCGTCCCCACATCCCTCCACCATGGGCCATTTGGGGGCGCGAAGCCCCAGAAGACGAGACGGGGTGGGCCCGGGCTGGCATCATAAGCTGACCACGACCAAAAAAAAAAACATCATAGCTTCTGCGCCAGGACGCAAGACGGACCCGCGGACGGACCCAACACTTCGGCAGCGCGCCTGGGGGGGGAGAGAAGGAAAAGCCTTCTCAGAAGGCGGCGGGGCTTCTCAGAAATCCTCCAGCCTTCTGAATGGTGTTCTGCGCCTTCGGGGGGGGATTCCCAAAACTCCTCCGAAGGCCAGGGGGCTTCCGAGCCTTCTGAGAAGGCCCGCCGCCTCTCACTCCCCCTTGGCTCGCCATCGCATCTTGCCGCTCGAAGCGCACGGCCGCCGGCGGGGCACCGAATGCTGGGACGCGCCTCGCGCGTGCACCCTCGCCTCCAGCCCACCTCGCTGCGCGCTGCCGGGCGGCCGTGCACTGCGCGTCTTGGTTTGGGGGCGCGCGGCCTCCGACCCCCCAAGTAAGCACGGCACCCAAGCCGCGCATCCTCCGCCCCGCTGTCCCCAACCTCCTCCGATCGCGCCTCAGCACGTCAACGAACACCCGCGCACTTTCCCTCCGGGATGGGCGCGAAAATGTCGCGGCGCCCCCTGGAACCGCGCGTCGGGTCCTGCTCCAGCCCTGATAAGGGAACGTCGGTCGGCTACCTGTGCCAAGAAAACAACGCGTCCGCTCACTGCGGTCGCCGCGTCGGCACTCGTCGCGCACTGGTAACTCATTCGCCCGCCTCCTCCACTAGCTTGCAGCCCACCAGCTCGGTCATCCCTGCAGCAGACCCCCCCCCCCCTCACCCCAGACGACGCGGCCCCCCGAGTCTTGGTCCGAAAGCGCCCCAAGCTGCCGCGCCTTCCGAACGCGCGAAGTCGGGATCACGTCGATCGACGCCCCCGAAAGGGGCTCCAACCGATAGGGACCCCGCAACACAGCACGTTCACTCCGCCGAATAGCCTGTCCATGCCGCCCCCGCCGACGGTGCGCACCCACGCCTCTGGCATGACCAATCGAATGTGCACATCCAGCTCTGGGGGGCAATCGCGGTCAGCATGCTTAACCTCGTCGACTATTAGCCTTCGCCACTGTCGGATCCGCCACGCCGCGACCAGTTTCTCCGCCCGTTCCTGCGCGGCTCGTGCCTGGATCTCCTTCGCGATCGCGATCGGGGTGATGCTAAGGAGGCCGCGCGCAGTGCGCGACCAGACAGTACTTTCTCCACTCCTACAGGGGTGCGCACTGGGTGGTCCCTGGGCTCCCTGGCTGATCGTTCGACACAACACAACGGTCTCCCGCTCGGCCCCTGTCGCACCTGTCCATTCCTGAACGGATGCGCTCGGGTGGCCCCTGAGCTCTCATGCTCGTCGTCCGACCCAGCGCGACGCTCTCCCGCTCGGCCCCTGCCACACTCGCCCCACGCCTGGGGATGGGCCACTGAACTCCCATGCTCAGCGCCCAGCCCATCACGACATTCTCCCGCTCGGCCCCTGTCGCACTTTTCCCACCCCTGAGGGGGTGCGCAGCGGGTGGTCCGGTCCTGAGCTCCCTGGCTCATCGCCCAGCCCATCAAGACGCTCTCCCGCTCGGCCCGTGCCGCATTTTCTCCGCTCCTGCAGGGGTGCGCAGAGGGTGGTCGCTGAGCCCCCTGGCTCATCGCAGCTCTTTCTGCTTCTGGATTACAGTTGCACGCTGCTTCAGCTGGCCGATGTCATGTCGGTAGTTCTCGACCCGCCACCAAGCCGACTTGGCCGTTGGCAGCCAAATCCCCGTAGCCTTCTTTGCGGCCGCCCCGACGGCAGCGATGGCACTGCCGGCGACACATGCAGCCGTGATGAAACTCAAGACGGACTTGCAACTATGCAAGACGCCACCGCCACCTCCGCCACGGCGTCATGACCGTCGTGTCCCATGGCGGTGAGGCCCCCGTCGCGCTCGGCGGCGGATTTTTGGACCGTTTGGCGACCTGGGCCTGGAGCTCCGAGAGGATACGCATATCGGCTCCTGCTGTTGCCGGCCGAGACGAGGGGATCCGCGCGCCCCAACGAGAGCCGAGGCCCGCGGACCTGAGACCTACGAGGTCTGGCTACCGAGATGGCCTTGCTGGGCGCTCCTGCCCCGCACTGGTGGCATGCGATGCGCGACGCCCGAGTGTCGCAGCAGCCGCAACGGCACCCTCGCAGGAGCGTCTTCGCGCCATGCAGGACATCACGCGGAGGGCCCCTTTGCAGCCGCAGGCTGCCGGCGGGCGGGACGCGAGAGAAGACAGCTCCGCCCGCAAGCACGAGCCGCTCCGGAGCGCGCACCTGCACTCTCGAGACGACACCTGGGCCAGAGCGGCGGCGATTGGGTATACGTAGAGGGGAAGAGGAGGAGGAGGAGGAGGAGGACGAGGAGAAGGAGGAGGAGGAGGAGGAGGAGGAGGGGGAGGAGGAGGAGGAAGAGGAGGATGAGGAGGAAGAGGAGGAGGAGGACGAGGAGGAGGAGGACGAGGACAGCAGTAGCAGGGATGGGGGAGGGGGGAGGACTGCGAGACCCCTGGAGACCCTGGCAACCACCTGCGTCTTGTGCTGCGTGTACACGTTCTCGACGCCCTTGAAACTGGTTGCCACCGCGGCCTTCGCCTGATCCAATGGTGGGCACAATCACAGAGACACGCAAGAGAGTAGAGCGTATCGCGGCCCAGGAATAGCCCCGCCAAAGAGCCTCGATCGTCGCTCGCCTGGCCGAGTGGTGACATGTAGCAATTTTCAGCAACACACCGCCACGAGTGAAGGCCGGCACAGGAGGTTCATACAGTAGGAACGGATGGTGAGCATTGCCACTGGCCTCCTGCCCGATATAGCTTCAACCAAAACAGCTTCCCGAACTCTCTCTCTCTCTCTATATATATATATATATATACATATATATATATATAAAAACTATCGCATCCGAAGCAAAGTGTAACAAACCCCGACTGCCTCCAAGCAGCTTGGAACAATAGAACATCGCCTGAGAGACGAAGCATTGCAGAGGATTGCGAGTAAAGCCGGACGGAACAAAATCCCATGGAACCCTGACGATGACAGCGCAGGATTCCAATCGCGTGAATTCCTCGCTGTGCCCCTCCACAGGGCTGGACCTAAACGGTGTTTTGGCGATTTCGTGGGCCGTTTTCGTTTCGATGTCGTTTTGCGGTAGAGGTGGATTGAAGACAAAACGAAGGAAAACGAAAACAAAACGAAAACGAAGAACACCGTTTAGGTTCAGCCCTGCCCCTCCACCCAGTTCTGCATGGCCGTCCACGGCGACAGCACAGCCCGAAAACGACTGGACCGACCACGAAACCGGAACCGACCCCGAATCCGACAGGCCACAGGCCGACCGAGCGCAGCCGACGGTGACGCAGCCGAACCGACCGAACTGCGGACACCGTCGTTCTCCCTGCTGTTCCCTCCTCCTCCTCCTCCTTCTCCTCCTCCTCCTCCTCTTCCTCCTCCATCCCTTTCCTTATAAATACCTAAACGAGCACCCTGCGGGCGATAAGGAGGTTGGGGGGGATTGAAATCAAATGCTCACCCTGACTGACCTCCAGCCTGTCACCTTGATCTCATCTCTCTCTCTCTCTCTTTCTCCCTGTCGTCGGCAGAAACAAATGAATTGATGGGTTGGGTTGTATGGATTGGATTGGGTGGGATAAGATAAGATGGGACAAGATGGGTTGGATAAGATAAGATGGATTGGATTGGACAACATGGATTGGAGAAGATAAGCTGGATTGGATAAGCAAGCCCGCCGCAGGCGCCGACAAAAATGAATTGATGGATTGGGTTGGGTGGATTGGATTGGATGGGATAAGATGGATTGGAAAGGATATGATGGGTTGGATTGGGAGAAATGGATTGGATTAGACAAGATGGATTGGATTGGCCCGCCGCAGGTGCAGAAACAAATGAATTGATGGGTTGGGTTGGGTGGATTGGATTGGGTGGGATAAGATAAGATGGGACAAGATGGGTTGGATAAGATAAGATGGATTGGATTGGACAAGATGGATTGGATAAGATAAGCTGGATTGGATAAGAAAGCCCGCCGCAGGCGCCGAAAACAATAATCATGAAATTAGCGACATGCGTTGGCGCCGGGACGCCCGGGACACCCGGGACACCCAGGACACCGCCCAGCCCAACTGGAACACCTCCCGGCCACCGGCGGACGGGAAACGGACTTTCGCTCCTACTGACACCCGGGACACCCGGGACACCGCCCGGCCCAACTGGGACACCTCCCAGCCACCGGCGGACGGGAACGGACTTTCGCTCCTGCTTCGGCCCAGCTGCAGGAGGATCACGCGCAGCTTCGCCTCGCCCGCACGCACGACACGAACACGAAACCGAAACCGATTCCCTGGTGGGGGGTCTCCGTTTCACTGCGATCTCACCCCCCACCCTCCGAACTCCTCCCTGTCGCACCCCGAGACGGGTCGGCAGGGCGGGCCGGGCGGTTCGCCTGAGACTTCCTCACCATTTGCGATCCTGACGACTGAAATGATCAGAATTCCACGGTCGCAGGGCGGTTTTCAAAATGTGGCTCTCGCCTGGGCGCCGCGCGCATTCGTCTTCACAGTTTACGGCAGTTTCAAGGATACTTCTGGCTGACGTCCCAGAAACGGCGTTTGGGCACGATTTGGGATTGCAAGGGCGCGACATTCAGTGATTCGCAGTGTTGACGTCCCAGAAACGGCGTTCTGTTACGAGTTAGGATCGTCAGGTCGTAACTGCAACGTTGATTCGCGACGTTGAGGTCCCAGGAATGGTGCCTTGGCAAGGTTGAAAATGGTCAAACGGTTGTCTTCCAACGGGGCTGTTCCCGCAGTGAAAATAAATGATTATAGGAGCCTATGAAGTGGAAGCTTGGAGGGAGGGCTGATTGCAACATCGTGGATTAATATTGGGTTTATCTTGGTCCTTCTCCTCCTCCTCCTCCTCCTCCTGATCCTCCTCCTCCTCCTCCTGATCCTCCTCCTCCTCCTCCTGCTCCTCCTCATCCTCCTCCTCCTCGCACTCTCGACGCTGGCCTGAGCGAATATCGACTTGTTATGGAACAGGTCTCCGCCGCGGATGTGCGAGCCCGCGTACTGCAGCAGCTGGTCCACGAGGGCCACCTGCTCTTGGCCGATCCCTTTGCTGCGCAGCACCTGGGCGGCGGAGAGAGCACGCTGGCACGGCCAAGGCCACCAGCGGCACGAGCGAGAGGGACGACGGAAGGCACCGACGCGGCCCAGCCTGCAGGGGTGCAGCGAGCCGCGCGCAGGGCCTCGAAAGGAGCGCGCGCCGCCGGAGTTTGCCGGAGGGTCCGGGTGCAGGCAGGCCGCGAGGAAGGGGGCGTGTCGGCGGCGAGCCCTGGGGGGAAGGGAGAAGGAGAGAAGGCCTTCTCAGAAGGTTCGGAAGTCCCCCGGCCTTCTAAGAAGTTTTCTGAGCCTTCCCCGAAGACAAACCTTCACAGAAGGCGCGAGGGCTTCTGAGAAGTCCCGCCGCCTTCTGAGAAGGCCTTCTCCTTCTCATTTCCCCCCTTCGCTCGCCGCCGAGCGTGGCCACGGCAACGCGGACGAGCCCCTCCAGCCGGGCATGGCGCGCGACCGCGCTGCGGGACGCCGAGAGGTACGCAGCCTGCGGGGGGGAGGGTCCGGCTCGCCTGGCGCCGCGGAAGCAGCGAGCATGTGAGCGTCCGTGGGCCAGGGGAGCGCCAGTCCCACGGGAGAAGGGCGGTCCAAAGGGAGGAGGGGGCGAGGGAGGGAGGGAGGGAGGGCGAGAAGGGCGGAGGGAGGGAGGGGGAGGGAGGGCGGAGGGAGGCGCGGGAGGGAGGGGGGAGGGAGAAGGGCGGTCCAAAGGCAGGGAGGGAGGGCGAAAAGGGGAAGGGAGACGAGGGGCAACCATGGGGGGGGAGGGGACGAGCTCGGGAAAGGGGGGGAAGCATCGTGCCGGAATCGGCGATGCGTCGCCGACAGATCGGCGACAGGCCCCCGATAGCACATCCGCACGTATCCTGGGCGGGGCGGGCTGACGGGCCCCTGCCAGCGATCCCCCCCCCCGAGCCCGTCACCCCCGAGCGCGGCCCCCGAGGGCAGGGCGGGGAGAGGCGAGGCGGGGCGCCGACGACTCGCGCAGGGAGGGCGGCCCTGCGAGAGCACGGCGGGCGGGCCAGAGCAGAGGAGGCCCGCTCGCCCCGCCCTGGAGCGAGCGCGGCTGGAGCTCCAGCGGACCTTGGCGGCGAGCCCCCGGGGGGCAGGCCCTCCCCTCCCAGGACAGAGAGGGCCGAAAACGATAAGGCCCTCACGGGAAGCACCCCGACAAGCGAAGCCGCTCGGCAAACGCAACCCAAGGAAGGGATCGAACAGGACAGGGCTGTTTAGAGAACGCCCAGGGCCGCTCAGCAAACGCCAAGTATGCGGGTCGTGGTGGTCTGTCCACCCTTGACAGAAGGCGGCGGGGCTCCTCAGAGGCCCTCGCGCCTTCTGGACGTTCTTCTCCTGGGCCTTCCCCGAAGACGGAGACGGCCTCGCAGAAGGCCGCGGGCTTCTGAGACGTCCCGCCGCCTTCTGCGCAGGCCTGCCCCCTCTCGCTCCCCCCCCCCTGGGCTCGCCGCCGAGGAAAGAGCGGGAAGCGAAGACGACGACGGAGGGGAAGAGGGAGAGGGAGGTGCCAGGAGGCCGATTGGCGCCCCTCGCGCGCGGGAACTCGGTGCTGCGGCGGCAGCATTCGGAGGACTGCCACGGGAGGGGCGTGGGCCAGCGCGCACGCCTCGGCAGGGCCTGGAACCTGCGCGGCGGCCCACCGCAGGCGACGTTGGCGACCGCTCGTTTCGATTCAGCTGCGCGCTCCGCCACACGGCACGTTCACGACGCGATGGCGTCAGGGTCACCGCGCGGATCGCTCGACCTGAAACGATCGCGGCTTTTCCATGGCGCAGATCAGGCGATGCCGGCGCTCTACGGTGCGGGCCTCTGGCAGCGCTGCACCGTGGACGCCCGCGACGGCGCCGCCGCCGCCGCGTCGACGCGTCGCCAAATTGCCGTGCTTCCACGGTGGCTTGTATCGCACCTCGCACGACGCGAGCCCTTAACAGTGTGCACGATCCTGCCGCGGTCTGGCCCTGGGCGAGGTTCTCTTCGACTTCAGCCGATGCCACTCGCTCTCCCAAAACACTTGAGCACCAGCATTTGAGCGCAAGCACTCTTTATCCCCGAGGGCACGATGTGCGCAGCAATCGAAGGAGTAGGCAAGCGGCAACGGCAAGGCAAAGCATGAGACCCGCGAT